GGTTGGATCAAGGGTTGGACTTGATGATCTCGGAGGTCCCTTCCAACCCAGTTGATTCTATGATTCTGTGATGATCATTTCCATCCCATAATTAACCTTCCAGCCCCAAGCCCAGCAAAGCTCAGCACAAATACCCAATGAGCAGCAGTTTTCCTCCGGATTGCTTCTCCCAGGGAGATCCCACTGGCTGCTGATCCCTGGGTTTCGCTGCTGCTGCTTCGGCTCCAGGATTCCTCCCTCCGCTGCCGGCGTGGGGGAGTTGTGGCAATGGGCTACAAGGCATTAATTGCTGATTAAAAACACATCATTTTTTCCATTTCAGTGTGTGTGTGTTTATTTACTCATTATGAAATACATAAAATATTCAAGTCATCCCCAAAGGCCAAAAATCGGGTCCTCCCCATCCTCAGGCGCTGCCTTAAATTCCATCCAGATTCCTAAACTTTGCTAAAAGGGGCAGCTCCTTCCCCACTTTAGATCCCAAAAATCTGAGCCTGATTTTGTGCACATCAGCCAATCATTTCTGAGGCATTTATTTCTCATTCTCAAATCCACATAAATCACAGAACACCAAAACTATTCATCACCTTGATCAGAGTCTGACTTTTGTCCTGTGTTCATTCAATGGTTGTTGGGTTTCTAATATTTATATATATATATATATTTACTTGCTTATTTATACATATTTTATATATTACAATATTGTAATATTTGTTATTTCGTTAAAATCATGTTCTTACTTATATCAATGTTATAAATTACATTTTAAAAGCCATCTTATGCAAATAACTTCAAGCAAGCCCAGTTAATTTCTAGATTATAATCAGGCAATACTTGGAGGGCAGGAATTGAAGTTAACTTGGATTCCTGCCTGGAAAAGCAGCTGTAACATTATTTTTCTTCCCCATGAGGCACCAGAGGAAGCTGTTCCTGAACTCAGAATGAAATTTCTCCTCTAGGACATCCCATTCCTGAGGTCACAGAGGCTGGAACAGCTTTTCCCAGACAGCACAGCCAGGCAGGTTTATTGGGATTATCACTGGGAAAACAGGTATTCCAGGAACACAAAAATGCTCCCTGTCACCTGCACCAGGAATTATGGATCCACTGCCTGGTGGAATTACAGTGATCCACGAAGGGGGAATTCACATGTGAGGGGCAAAAGTAAAAGGTCACAGACGGAGAAAAGGATTTCCCAGGATGAAGGAGAGAAAAGTCCAGACCCAAAACCTGTTTTAATGGATATCCACAACTGCCTTTATATCCACAGCTGCCTTTGCATTCACAACTGCATTTACTTCCACAATTGCATTTTTCCACAGCTGCATTTCCATCCACAGCTGCATTTCCATCCACAGCTGCATTTCCATCCACAGCTGCACTTCCATCCACAGCTGCACTTCCATCCACAGCTGCACTTCCATCCACAGCTGCACTTCCATCCACAGCTGCATTTTTTCACAGTTGCATTTACTTCCACAGCTGCATTTATTTCCACAGTTCCATTTTTCCACAGCTCCATTTACATCCACAATTGCACTTACATCCACAACATCCACAACCGCATTTTTTCACAGCTGCCTTTACCTCCACAGCTGAATTTTTTCACAACTGCATTTCCATCCACAGCTGCATTTCCATCCACAGCTGCATTTCCATCCACATGGAATTCCCAGAGAAGCTGTGGCTGCCCCTGGATCCCTGGAAGTGTCCCAGGCCAGGTTGGAGCAACCTGGGCTGGTGGAAGGTGTCCCTGCCCATGGCAGGGGGTGGCACTGGATGAGTTTTAAGGTCCCTTCCCACCCAAACCATTCCATCACTCTGTGAATATCCACATTAATGTGGTACATTCCAATCTGGGTTTTGTCCAGACCCAAAGAGAAACGTAAGGAACTGTGACTAAGATGATAAAATCAATAGGAATGGAGGAAGAAGATGGGTATAAACTCGTGTTTAAGCAGCAGAACAGAGGCCAGCAGGTACAGCAAAGCCCCAGCCCAGGAAAAGTCAGTAAACATCAATTTGTTAGACATTTTATAAGTAATTATCCCCTATCCCTTTCCATTTGTCTCTGATAACATCACATCCACACGGGAAAGTCCCTTTAACTGCACAGTTGGGGTGAAATCTTGTAATAGTACAACATTTAATCTATAATTCCTCAGTCTTCCCTCTTATCTTCAGAGAATAATTAAAGAACATTTAGCAGATACCTTTGTAAAGGGCTACTGAAAACCTTTTAAAACTGTATTTGGAGATTATTTGACTGTAAAGAAATCCTATAAGTAGCAGTGAAATATAAAAGCAGTTTGAATATATGAGACCAGAGTACAAGCCTGAACACTGCCTTTACATCCACAGCTGCATTTACATCCACATTTTATGCTCTGAAAAGGGTCAAAAACCACCCACACTTGAGAGACTGAAGTAACAGAATCATGGAATCACTGAGGTTGGAAAAGACCTCCAAGGTCATCAAGGCCACCCTGAGCCCAATCCCCTCCTTGTCCCCAGCCCAGAGCACTGAGAGCCACGTCCAGGCCTTCCCTGGACACCTCCAGGGGTGGGGAATCCACCAAAACAGATCCTTAAGGAAAAATAATCACTTCCTGAGGTCAAATACTTCCCACACAAGCAGGATTCTCCTGCTGGTCCTGAGTTAATTTGTGTTTTCCCAAGCAAAGCCCGAGGTCCAAGTGGCAGCTCCCACCAGCAAAAGGAAATAATCCCTCCTTTCCAAGGGATCTCCTGAGGGAGCAGCTGGAGGGAAGCAAAGAGGCAACAGCACATTCTGCTTCAGGATTTCATTTTTAATCCTCATTCCAAAGAGGAATATCCAAGAAATAACACAATGGCAGGAATCTGCACTGTGTGTACCAGGGTACAGGTATTTAATGAAGCTGTTGCAAGCAAGAAGTAAAGACTTAGTAAATTAGTATAATCATCTCTGAGGGCTTCCATGTAATTAAACCCAAAGGAAGGAAACTCAATAAGCTTTTTTTTTCCCGAAATCCAACACCTCAAAAGTTCAGTTTTGCTGCTAAATACATAAAAGAGGGGATAAAAGACAAAAATAAAGCTGAACAAACCACAACCACTCCCCCACACAGTGCCAGGGAATTAAACAGTGGGAGCAGCAGCTCCTGTTTGGATCTCTCTGACTGTGAAATATGAACAATGTTTGGTTTTGAACTCCTCAAAGTTTAAATATCCAGGTTAGTTCTCCTTTATTCTGCCCCCCCCCCAGCCCACTAAAATATCCCAGTAAAAATATCACACAATAGAACCCAGGAGAACAAAGGAAAAAAAGAAGATTTCTAGAGACACAGGGAAGAGAACTCCCAAGATGATTAACTCCAACAATCTGATCTTCCCAAAAGATCAGAAACACTCTATAATTTCTTCCAAACGCTTCAGCTCTTTTCTCCTTCCTAAAAAATCAGAGCTACAGGGCCGGATTAATTCAATATAAACCTGTGTTTCAGTTTCCTAATCCAGCTGAAAATGCAGCTGCAGAATTAGGAGCCCTGGAAAAATGGGCAGTGGAGTTCAGGACCGATTTTTCCAACATCAGGGAGTTTTTACCCCAAATTAAGGTGACCAAGTAACAGATTTCACCTTGACAATTCAGGACTTATTTTTCCCTATTTTGCCAAGAACATTCCCAGTTCTGAGAGCACTTCCCAGAGCATTTATCACTTCCCCTGGCACAGCTTTATGTGTTTATTTTCTAGGTCTCATTATTCACTATTCACGGGATTCATCAGTGAAAATTCTTCATGGGAACAAGGAAAAAAAACCCACCAAAACCTGGAATGTCTTTCCCAGTTCATGCCAAGACCAAAAACCCTTCTGAGGTCACATTACAAACCAAGTCCAGCACCCCTTTACCTCCTACAATCCTCACCCTCTCAAAGATGGTAATTAAATGGGTTTGAAATCAATTTTCAATATTCTCAATATTCTCCTAACATTGTATTTCAAGTGGTTTCATGGAATCATTAAAGGTTGGAAAAGCCCAACCATTAACTGACAGATCCACCACTAAACCACGGCCCCAAGTGCCACATCCACGTGTTTTCAGAACCCTTCCAGGGATGGTGATTCCACCCCTTCCCTGGGCAGCTGTACCAATGCCTGACAAACCTCCCAGGGAATAAATTATTCCTGATGTCCAATCCAAACCTCCCCGGCACAACTTGGGGCTGTTTCCTCTTGTCCTGTCTCCTGTTCCCTGGGAGAAGAAACTCTGGTTTTCATTTGGCCATTAGTTTATGTTCAAACTGCACGTGGTGATCATTCAGAAACTATATATCATTTACCACAAATAATACTTAATTCCAGCTTTCCAGGCTTTCTCCCTGGCCTGGGAAGCCTCTGGAAGCAGGAGCAGGGAAGGTGAGAGCTCCTCCATGGCCTGTCCCCAGTGCAGTGTGAGCCCTGTGCCACTTGGAGTCACCAGCCCACAGCTGAGGGCAAGGAATGAAGGAACACGGAAAAACAGGAACCCATTTCCCTCTTAAAACATGGAATTGGCCACCCCGTCCCTGAAGATTAAAGATATTATTTAGCCAGAACACAGGGAATGTAGGTCAGGCTGTCTCATCCCAACCTGCTCATTTCATGGAGCAATCATCAGCTTGGAATGGAAAACCAAGGAAAAGCAAACCCACTGCGGTGTAAAAGTCCTTCAGAGGCCACACACAAACCCAGAACTCCCACAAAAATGCAACTGGATTTCATAATAACCCGATAATTTCATTTATTTCCAGCTTTATAGCCCATATCAACCCTGCCTGGTGTGTCAGAACAGAAAGTTAAAAAAAAAAACAAACCAAGTCTTATTCAAGTACAGAATGAGTTTTACATCTCTTTTTTTTTTTTTTTGGCCAGAAGCCCAGTAAAACAAATTGGATGAAAATCATCAGCATTTAAGTCCAGCTACTGAAATGAGTAACAAAATCCTCTTGTCTGCAAACAGTTCAGCACCAGAAGTTCATCGGGGAAAATACAAGAAAAGATTTCAAAAACATCAGTCAGAGAAACGAAACAAGGATTTGCTGCACTCAGGGCAGAGAAACACTAATTATTTTGGGATTATTTTGGGATCAGACTCAGCCAGCATGGGGTGAGGAGGGGCAGGTCCTGTCTGACCAACCTGAGTTCCTTTTATGACACAGTGACCTGCCTGGTGGAGGAGGGGAAGGCTGTGGGTGTGTCTGTCTGGAATTCAGCAAAGCCTTGGACAACGTCCCCCATGGAACATCCCTGG